ATTACCGTACATACCGTACCGTTTTAGAACCCCCAAAAACGGTCTCCTGGGCTCTGGTCATAGCAAATGGCTCAAGTTAAAACATTTACGTAAACCCGTCTCGGAAAGACAAATATCGAGATGAACTTGATCACAGCACTTTCTCTCTTCTGTGAGAACTCGCAAGACACACACGATGACCATGGAGCGGCAACCAAGCCCACCGTTCATCCGCCCTATCAGGTCTCCGAGCTCGTCAATAGCCAGCCCGATATCAAAGCTCTTCCGCGCTCCCCCAAAATATCTCGTCTCGACTCCAAGGGGTTGTCCTCATACACGAGAGGAAGCAGTTCTAGGACCTCAATCTCATGAATGGACACGACGCCATGGACTCTCAACTCAGCCACCTCCAGGTACAAATCTCCGAGACCTCTCACACGGAACATTGCAAGATCCTGAGGACTAGAACGCTGTACCGAAGAAGCTTAAATCGTCCAAGCCCATAAAGTACTGATGGCCCTACGCCTTTTCCCTGTCGCAACGCTGGGTGCGCATCAGTCAAACACGTACTCCACCCGTGACCTTACACATCCACCCTCACATGAACATCACCTTCCAAAACGACAGCCCCGGTACCCCTCCTTTCGCATATACGAAGAGCGGCCAAAGTGACATACAGACCTCACCTAAACACACGCGCACACACGGAAGAGGCGAGACGAACCTGAGGCACATGCGGCTACTGCGAAAGAGATCCATCCGTCCGTCCATCCGTTCGCTTCCCCCTCAAAGGAGGAGACCTATGTTCGTGCTTCGAACACGAGGCCATACGAAGACGAAGAGAGGCACACACTTCGCCTTTGCCGTCACTTTCCGCACTGACATGAAGTTCTTCCTCCTCCTTTGCATCCGATCGCATCTCACCCCTTCCTTGCCTGGGTCTGCGTCCTGACTCCTGCGGTCTTCAAGAGCGGATGTAACCCAGCCCAAATGTGATGCCAAGCGACAGACAAACGCAAGGCACCTCTCGATTCAATCTCAATCTCAATCTGACAATCTGCCTTACCATTTCAGCTTCATCTGACGCAAATCAGAAACCTGGGGTACATGGACGACGAGTCGGCCATGAAATCGCGTAGCGTTGCATCCGTTTCACGCTTGTTGACTGACCCTTTCTGGAACACGAAGTCGACAGTCTCTCGATCCGGACGGAGCTCGCGTGGTGAAAAAGGATGGGGTACGGAGTTGAAGTAAGTGAGCTTGGACCTGTCATGCTTAGACACAATAACTGACTGACCGTTATCGAAACTAGACTTATACGTCAAAACGTCGAGGACGCGGACGGGCCTGACTGACATGACTTACGTGTACACGGCAGAGCGAACAAGACCGAGCCACAGGAAATTGACTCACATGTCACAAGTGTCACATGGCGCAAGAGATCAAGGGGGAACGCACACACGATTCTAGACAACACGCAACGAGCTTCTATTAAGTATTAAGTGAATGCGAACAAGCTGACACCGGCCCTAGTGGCCAGCACAGACGGTTCCATGCAGTCTTTTTCCACCAACAGCATCTCCAAACTCAAATCTGACGATTCCTGACCCTAGCCCGATATGAACCAACACACACAAGAGGTCCGTCCATCTTGTCGGACCAAGGCGCTTCGAATTTTTTGTCGTGGGTATTTTCTTCTCGTGTTCTTGTCTGGAGTGACGGGTATAACTGGGTATCAAAGCATCAAAGCAGGATACTTGTGGAAAACAAAATCAAAACAAGAAAACAAGGAGCAGAAATGACTTCGAAACGACTGAAAGTGGAACGGAATCACCTCCCGCCAGTTTTCGCCTTCCGATGCGTGTGCTGTGTAAAGAGGGAAATAGGAAAGGGTATCAGGTAGAACCAGTCTTGACGGGGTATCTTGAAATGCAGGTCCGATTCCAGACAAACCCATCCAAGTGAAATGAGTTGTCACGTGATGTTGCTCTTCCTCCGAATCTCGATCCGATGCTATTGCACTTTTTTTGTGGCGTTTTGTTATACGTTTTTTGCTTCATTCAGTTGATCATGACGACCGACGCTGGCTCTTGCGACGAAGAGACAGCGAACCCCATCTCGCATTCTATGCGGCGGCGGTGACGGGGGCGGGAGTGGAAGAAGCGACGTTCTCGGGCTTGTTCTCGGGCTCCTCAGTGGCCTTGGAGGTCTCGGCAGCAGGAGTCTCGGTGGCGACAGCAGGGGTCTCCTCGGGCTTCTCCTCAGTCTTCTCGAGCTTGTCGGCAGGCTTCTCAGTCTTGCCACGGCCCTTGATGGTAGCACGGAGCTTGGAGAAGGCGCTGGTCTTCTCCTGCTTCTCAGCCTCCTCATTGTCGGAGTGGGCAGGGGACTTGGCAGGGGACTTGTCACGCTTGCCGAAGCCGAAGGGAAGGGAAGACTTGCGCTTCTCCTTGAGGTCAGGGCGGGGCTCGCCGTTGGTGGCGGGGGTGACCTCCTTGTTCTCGACGGGAATGGTGCCAGGGTTGGCAACGTCAACAGCGAGGGGAGTGGTGGCCTCAACGGGAGGAATGACGGGGGCGGACTCAGCAGCGGGAGTGACCTCGGTCTCCTTGGCCGGGGCGGGAGTCTCAGCCTCAACAGCGGCGGCAGCCTTCTTCTCCTTCTTGCCGAAGACACCGAAGATGCTGTTGCGCTTGGTGGGAAGGGGCTTCTTCTCCTCCTTGGCGGCCTCGACGGGCTTGTCCTCAGCAGCGGTCTCAGTGGCAGCGGCGACAGGAGTCTCAGTAGCGGGGGTGACGGGGGCCTCGACAGCGGGGACCTCAGCGACGGGGGTCTCGGTGGCAGCAGGGACAGCGGGGGTCTCCTCCTTGGGAGTCTCGGCGACAGCGGGGACAACAGGAGTCTCCTCCTTCTCCTCCTTCTTAGACTCCTCCTTCTTGCCGAGCAGGCTGCCGAAGATGGAGGCACGCTTGCGGCTGGCAGAGCGACGCTTAGGCTCCTCCTTCTTGACCTCCTCCTCCTTGGGGGTCTCAGCAACGGCCTCCTCAGTGGCGGGGACAGCGGCGGTCTCAGCAGCAGGGGTCTCGGTGGCGGTGACGGCCTCAGTAGCGGGGGCCTCGACAGCCTTCTCCTCCTTCTTCTCCTCCTTCTTGGCGGGCTTGAAAGCCTCCAGTGCAGTCTTGTAGGCCTCAGTCTCGGTAACGGTGGAAGCGAGCTCCTTGGCCTCGGCGACCTTGAGCTTCAGCTGGGAGATCCAGTTGTCGCGGTCCTCGGCGTTGGCAGCCTTGAAGGTGTGCTTGTGGCCCTTGGCGGTGAAATGGAACTTGTTAGCGCCATCGGCAGCAGGCTCAGAGGCATCGGCCTAGAGAAAAATCGTTAGCATGATATCATTGGTGCAAGTCATAGTGTGAAACATACCAAGTTGATGACACCCTGGGGAGCGGTCTTGTCACCGAAGAAGAGGAGACCCTTGCCGGTGTGGGAAGCCCAGGCGGCGTTGTGGTGGGCAGTCTCGGTAGACTTCTCGCTCTTCAGGTAAGAGGAGAGGTTCTTGGACTCGACAGCATCGGATCCGAACCAGAAGAACTCCTTGGAGTAGATGAAGTTCCTGGGGAATAGCCGTTAGCACATGCGACTCAATGATCTTGAAGCGCGCTGTACTTACTTGGGGAAGTTAATGCCCTTGTGCTCGAGGGTGCCCTCCTCGACGGGGACAACCTCCTTCTTGGCCTCCTCAACGGGGGCAGCAGCCTCAGTGGCAGCGGCCTCAGCAGGTGTCTCGGTGGCGGTGGTGGTAGCCGGGGTCTCGGTGGCAGTCTCGGCGGCGACAGGGGCGGCGGCGGGAGTCTCCGTCTCAACGGGCTTCGTCTCGGCGGCGGGGGCCTCGGCCGTGGTGGTGGCAGGGACAGTCTCCTTGGGGACCTCGACGGGCTTCTGTTCTTCGGCCATTGTGTATGATGTGTGGTGTTGGAAAGGGGAATTGGGTATCAAAAAGCCAGGCGGTAGACTTGGGTATCACAATGAAAAGGTCTTTTAGAAAAGCACTACTAAAAGTACTGTATTGGTCGTGTCGAGGGGGTGGTGTAAGGTCTTGGGTATAAAAGAGTTCAAGAATAGAACCTCTTCTGGGGAATAATGGCAAGAAAAAAAGAAGACCTGTAAATGGTGGCAGAGGAAAGACGGGAAAGGGAGAGAAGGAAATGGGAGGTAGAGCGGGTTGCTGGGGGTACTTATTTGCGAGAGGGTGACGAGAAGAGGCTTTGCCCTTGCCAGGAGGCCCGGTTGATGGAGGCTCACACGGTCCAGTCAGTCCCTTGCGAAGGAGGAAAAAAGAGGCGTGGGCCCGTCGTGAGTGGCTACCCCCGGGTAGGATAGAGGTGAGGTACCTTGGAGTGTGTGTGTAGGTACTTTGAGGAAGGAAGGAGGGAGGCGTGGGTAGCTGGGCAGACAGACAGAGAACGACCGATGAGTGGAAGTGTGTCAGTCAGTGTCAGTCTAGGTAGACGGCGGCACTGGCGTGGGAGGTTGATGAGCGGTAGATGGCTTGGACGAGAACGGTGGGAATGCGATACGGTGTAAGACTGTGAGGTAGGTAGACCGTATGGCGGGTACGAAGTACTGTACGATCAGACCGTATGTAAAGCGATGGGGGAGAGACTCGAGAGAGGGAGAAGGGGTCGCAAAGGGCCAGTCAGAGTGGTCGTCTGAGCTTGATGAGAGAGCGCAGGCAAGTGCGACGAGGATGGGAGGTCTGCTGGTCTGCTGGAGAGCTTGGGCGCAAAGGAAAGTGAGGAGGACGAGAGAGGTCCAAGGTGTGTGAGTGGTGAGTCGCGAGTGTGGTGTGTGTGAGGTTCAACAAGCATGCGATGAAGGACAGGGGTCCGGGAAAGAAGCCGTTCCAAACGGATACTTTTTAGTGGGGGTACTTTCCCTCGCTGTCGCGGCCCTGTCACCAATGTACCTACCTTACTGGATGTACTCACATACCTGAGGCTGCTGCACCTAGCATTCAATACTGCGTGATGTGTATGGCATGGCATCACTTACCTTTCTTTTTCCGGTCTGCTTATTTCTATCTCTTCTGTTCCGTACCTTGGGTCAATCTCTGCCTCTCTCTCGACTCATTATACGCGGCTTACCTGATCTCCATGTTGAGGTGTTACTCCGTACTGGTGGTTGCGATGCGCATCTCGGGAAATGGAAATGGGATACAATCAAGCCTCCAGTTGAGGTACGAGATGCCCTGGTCTAGCAAGAAGATAAGATACTTTAGTTTCCCCTACTTTCAGCAGCACGAGCGAGTGCCTCAATGCTTGCGATGAGGTACACGTACTTGTACCTTAAAATGGGAGGTGGGGCATGGCATTTAGTAACTCATCCCCTGTCGCTATGATTTTTTGGCGTGTTTCCCGCTCTCAGTTGCGTTGCCAGAGAGTCAGAGGAGAACGAACTGAACGTCGCGTGCTGGCCCGTGCTGCGCGCAAGCGAGTGGGACGAAATTGCCAGACCCGTACGGAATACCTCAGGTACCCTGCCCTACCTTTAGCTGCATGTGCTTGGGATCGAACTGCGTGTTGCGTTCTTCTTCTGCTGCTTCGTGTCGTATCGTGTGTGCAAGGCGAGAGAGAGAGACTGGAAGAGTGAGAGAACCGTATTGGTAGTGTAAAGAGCCAAAGTAGCCAGAGACTCACATGTAGCAGTACGTGACCCAGTCGCCGCGCCTAGATACGTACTGCGGTATACAAGATACTTATTACATGGGGGCCCAGAAAGACAAGAGAGTGCAGGACGAGCAATATGCAAAAGACGGACAGGGGGTACAAGGACGAGCCTTTCCACACCTTGGACAGCGTCAGGGGTGCGGTACAGAGGTACATGAACATCCATGCCCATGCCTCGCCATTCCCTGCCTGGACCCTGCTGCTTTGCCGGGAACATGCCATGGATGACCCACTTCCGCCGCCATTCCCAGACGTTAGTGGCTGTCCTAATTCATTTGTTAATCTTTTTTTCTGAATGAATCTTTTTTTCTTTGCTTCTTCTCTCTAATACGCAGCAGAGCAACGCGCCCAGAAAGGTAGTATGTAGAGAGAAGGAGAGAAAAGTCGTTCGCCGGTTGCCCCTCCGATGCGACGACGCTATTATCCGTATAGGATAAGGTATCCGTACCTTCAACCACAGGCTCCGTTGTATCTTTTGTTGTTGGAAAGAATGGGAACAACGAGAACAAGAGAACCAAACCAACCGGTGTTGAAACATCGTAGCCGCCGCAGACTCCCGCTCCCTTCTTTACGCCGCCGCACCCCGACGGCCCAGCAACCGTTTTAGTCGTTTTTTCTTTCTAGACCTTTTCTCGTTCTGTCGTACGCGACCAACAAATTATCAAAATTCACAGTGGACCATAACGAGATGGCTGGGTGATTTCGATACGCGCTGAACCCGGGCCTGGAACCTAGCACCCGGCCGGGTCCCTTTCACAGAATCCAACAGACTGTCTCCATCCAGCCAGATAAGGTATGGATTAGAAAGGGAAACGAAGAAAAAAGGGGTGCCCGCGACGGCGGCCAGACAAGTTCGCAGACTCGCAAAGCAGACGTCGCAGTTTCGCTACTAGGAATATTATTAGTTGAACCAGCTGGCGCTGACTGCCTGACTCTGGGAGGCTTTGCTCAGCCTCCTGTCACCGGCGGGATGTGTGTGTAATAAAGTTCCCTTCTTGGTGACTCATGTCGCACTGTAATCTTCAGTCCAGGCCTCTTCTCCTGATACCGCTACTTTCTCCCTGGACCGTTTCTGGTTCACCGTCCGTATCCCTCTCTGAGAGTGCTAAAAGTATTGCAAGTATCCAAGGAGTATTGGGTACCGTTACATTCGATGGCCAGACCTCGAGGCCGTGACGATCGAAAAGTGGATGAGGGGATGTTGAAGGCTGGCATGAACGAATGAAAAGGATACGATGCTCTCGCGCCACAGGCTCGCAGTACCAAACTTCCATGGTTCCTCACCACTTCCCACACACACTGCTTAGAAACAAAACAACAAAAATGGGGTGAAAAATAGAAACGAGAGGCTTCTCAGGAAAGTAGGAAGAAAGAAAAGCAGTCCCTACGCGTATGTGGCATATCGATTCCAAAACAGATTCACTTCAAAATGGCTTCTCATCCAGCCAGAAAACTCGCGTGATGTCCTGCAGCAAGCCCATGACGGACGTCATATTGCGGCCGCCCACCCTTTCGAGGGTGATGCCGTTGAATGCGCTCCATTCTCGTGCATTGCATAGGCAAGCTTTTTGCAGGGCAAATCGCGACACCACCAAAAGTAGAGGTGTGCCCACCCTGCAACCACAACGCACCTCCCACGACCACCTCAGAGAATGAATGGATGGGTAGCAATGAGAACCAGACGAGAGCTTCAGGACTGGTTGGTTGGCTCCCCGATACTCGCCTGGTACAGTACCTAAAAGGCACAAATACTCGCCGTAGGCACATGAATCCGATCGATCGTTCTCACGCTCCGTAATCCGTCTTCCAGATGTGTTCTCGTTCGCCGTATGGGCCGGCTCCCTCTGCCCTACACGAACACATGGGAAACGTTGGAACGAGCGGCTAAGTGCCGGCATGGCTGGGCAACCTGTAGCGGTTGCCTTCCATACCGTCGCCTTTCATATTCCGCCCTCCGTTCTGAAGGGAATCTCCCGTCTTCTCAAACTGTACTGTTCATTCCCACCGTTTCCGCGCCCTCAGCCCAGCCCAGTGCCGTTCCTTTAACCTCGTCCACTAGTCCCTTCCATAGCACATCGCTAGAAACCCCCGAATGATTTGCGTGTGTCGTTGGAACTTGGCAATTTTGAGGGACCACCACGCTCGCCTACTACGGCTGCAAAACGGGACTCGAACTTCGGAGAGAGGGTCTACGCTAAATTCCTCACTATTTTGCGACACGCGCCTTTGTCCTGTTAGGTCATTTTTTCAAAGGGGAGCGAGACATGGCCGGTCCCTCGTTAAAGCAGAAAACCCTTGGGGCCAAAGATCCACATGGCCAACGAGTGTGTGGGCTTGCAGGCAAGGGGAGAAGCCTGAGAGGGGACAGGAAGAGGAAAGAATAGGAGTCAAGGTGGTCCCCTATTAAAACGACGACCACGCCATAGGGCCACGATGGAGAAAATGGGGGGCCAGTACGCTACCTCACGCTTCCTCATCCAGATGTGCCGCTAGTCCTGCTAGCTGCATCCTCTTTAAAACCATGTGACTCAGGCAAGATACCGTCTTAGCAAGATTTATCCAGAGCGGGAGTGTCGATCAGTCTGCGCACCTTATCCCAAGGCTTCATTGGACTCGTCGCACGACAACTGACTGCGCTGATGGAGGGGCATAACGGTGTGGGTGTGAGAGGTACTGCGTGTGAGTGTGTCGCGTCTTCAATGGACTCGATGGCGCACTCTCATTCAGAGTTCGCCCAGCATTCGTCAAGTTGTGAGCCGAGTGAGGTCGGGCAATGATATGCGGCGGCCAGCCTGAGGGCCTTTGCGCCTGCGCCCTGCGAGACTGTGCAGAGGCGGCGCCATGTATTTCCATGAGTGTCCGTGGATAGGCGTACTGTAACCTGCCAGTCCTGCCAGTCACCGTTAGGTTATCTCCTTTTATCCTAGGCGTGCTTCTTGTGCTTCATGGACATGACAATGCAGGGCAAGCAGCCAAATGTTTCGGACTCTGCCTCCCTCCCGTAGCGCGGTCTTGGTGTTCACTCGTCGGTTGCGCCAATCTGTATCTCGTAGTTGACTTATGTCCATGGGTATTGTATCTTGACTCTCAAGGCGTGGCGTCACTCAGTAACCGTACGGATACAGGATTCTCCTTTCTGGGGGGCGCGCCGCGTTACTGTCGTCGTAACGGTAGCAGACCTGAAAAGGAGAAGTCGTTCAAAGAAGACTCGACTGAGGCCGGCACGATGGATCCACTGTAGGAGACGACAAGAGACCATTCTCATGACAATCAGAAACAACAGCCGCCCGACACTGTGCAACTGCCAATCAATCGGAGATCCACAGGCCCTTGACTTGGACCCATTCCGCATATTTGATCCAAACAATCCTAGCTGCCGCCAGGCCCAGTCTTGGTCAACAGACAGGGACTGACGGGGATGTAGGGGGCCGTTCCCCTGCCTCTCATGATCAGAGGCCACTTACGGGAATTTTTCTTTCCTCTCGAGATTCTCAGGACCACAGCGTAAGAACAGGATACATTAAATCCCCTCCACCGTCCGGTCCTGACTGTTGGCCTGGAAATAGGCACACATTGCTGACCCGACGGCTTCCCCAATCAAGTCTTTCGGAAGTTCAGAATCCAGAGTCCAGACGCCAAACGCCAAACGACACTCCATCAACAGCTCCGTTTGGGCGCGTGTCCATCAAGACTCTAGACCTGCCAAGAGGACTTGCGGCTGACTCTAGCCCGCCGGATTCCCAGACCAGACCCCTCGAACGCAGCACAGCATGTCCCCAACGAAGCGAGGTTTGTATTCGCACAAAGTACCCGCCATCGTTTGGACATTGCTTGCTGCTTGGGTGACCATCCGTGACGGGGACCAGATGCAGATGCGCAGGGACGGCAAATTACGGCCACTGCCGAGCTAAAAATTGCTGACGGACACGGCCTTCATTTCAACAAAGAGCCTTGGGCCGTCCGAGTCGGCCACTATTGGCTCCGTGGGGTTCCAGCGCGGCGCTACCATCGCGATCCCATTTAACCACTTGGCCATTCTCGCCTGAAGCGTACCTAGCTTGTAAATTAGGTGATGAATGATTGCGCCCCAATATCTGTACCTGACATTGAGCAAGCCATGACAGACGTTCCGAGCTGGTTGACGGGCGACAGCGGACAGTCAGTCCGTCACGGACAACGAGACCGAAATCAGAAAGGCTAATATTCGGAGAGTCATGCTTGGCCACTATGCGGTGCCCCTGAACGGCGCGATCTTGTCCTAATATCTAGCTGATCGACATGCCTGATGTCGTTGGAAGGCCATCGGGAGGTCAACCGAATTCGTCTGCTCGAGGTGGCCGACCGCTCTTTTGATCGGTTTGGAATTCCATGGGATGGGTTGGCTTGGGATGAAGGGGCCACCCGTGGAATGCGATTCGATATCCAGGATGCCCATGAAGTGAAAGCCGAATGAATGTCGACTTATGCCGTCAGATGCCACCACCAAGCCCTGTCAAATGCGGGCTGCGCGTACCTCAGTCAGAACTGTCCTTCACAACCCTGTTAGCTAATCCCTGGTCTATCTCTGCTTTGATTTTACTTCCTAGGTTGGGAAGTCGCAT